AAGTTATGTCGGCCCAGGATCAAAGAGCTCAGGAGGGACTGAGCAGAACTTAGGTCTCTTAATGTCTAGACTGCTGGGATGTGGAAGGGAGTTGGGGGTTGTCTGAGAAGGTTAGATGACATGACCTCTAAGACAACTATACTGTCAGCCAGTCAATCCTCAGAGAGCTGGTGAAAGCCAGTTTACTGAACTCTGACAACAGGAGACATGGATATTTTCCCTGTAGGAGTTAACAATCTGAAACAATAAAGAAAACCTCTACACAGATAGCCACAGTGGAAAGTGACAGGGTGAGCTGTGTGGACAAGCGCCCACCCAATGGGGGCTGATCTACTTGGCAGCCCTTGTGTGTCCCAAATACTTGGAGGAGTCCTTCTCTCTTCACAGGGGCCACTGTGGCCCCTCATCTACCTCTTCCACAAAAGACACTTCAACAGCCCCCTTGGTGTAGAGTTTGTTGTACTGGCCATGTGAACATTCTGAGAAGACCTCCCTTTGTCCTGTCATAGCTTGCCACCACATGCAAATTCCTTTATGGATTTCTGTACTTAATAAGTGTTATTATTGTCTACTACATTATTACTAACATTTCTTGAGATAGTTCATATTATAGGATAGCTAACTTTAGTGAGTGCCCACTCTGTGTTGTTTTAAGGCTTCATCTCTATTCATTCATCCAATTCTTGGCCAAAGAGAAAGGCCACTTCTAAATGTTTGGAACAATATCGGGAGGCTGGATTTAATGTTTGTGAAGTAAGAGAGAGTTGTGCATCCTCCGAACAAAGCAAACATTGATTTATGTACAGTTTTAGAAGGGATGGATTTGAGGTATTGGTAGAAATGCAGGAGTGGAAGTGTTTAGGGATTGACTAGTTTCAGAGGGTAGTGTGATTCCTGGGTGGAGACTATAGTTGATGGACTGATTTTCAGAAGTCAAATGACCCACAAAGGAAAAGAGAGAGAGAGAACAGAAGGAGAGTGAGCAGACAGAGAAGAGGGGATGAAAGTGAGAGTCTTTTCTGCGTGGTCTCCTTTACTAATCCAGAGACCATGGACTGAGGTACACCTCCTGACTGTTCCCAAGTTCTTTCAGCCCCCACTCCATCTCTTCTCAAGCCCATCAGTTCTATTCTGTGTCTTCGCATCCCAGCCAAGGGTGTTTCCTGCTTGGTTCGGTCCAGGCTCCTCCCTTTGTAGGCAAATCAGAGAGGCCTTCAGATAACCTGCAGTGGCATCTCAGAGCATATTTTCACTGGTTGTTTGAAGGAACCCGGAGCAAGTGTCTTTTGATTAAGAGTTAGCAAATACTTACCAAACCCCTTCAAACTACCAGGAATGTTCTGGGTGCTGCAGAAACAAATGGTGAAACCAGCAGATCCAAGCTCATGTTGGCATCAAGCTTAACCCTTTCTGGAGAGACCGAGGTTTAAACAGATGCATTAATTCATCCAGGTATCACATGTCACAGGGTGGTCCCTGCTCTGGAGTCAAGGTAGAGTAAGAAGGTAGTAGAGAGAGGGGATTATGGCATCATATAGTATTGCCGAGGAAGGCCTCCTCAGAAACTGATGGTTAAGAATAGAATTAAGTAAGAGTGATGAGACCAAAGGTGAAAGAGCTGGGTGAGCTTAGAAGACTTGGGAAGAGAGGAGATCAGAAGCTGAAATGGGCTCCTGTGAGGCATGGAGGTCTTTGTGAGGATTTTGGAATTGAGTTTGAGGAGATGAGCGGTTGTGAATGGTTAAGAGGAGTCATCATTTGACATCACCTCACAGGGACATAGGGGCTGCTATAATAACAGTCCACAGGTCATGAAGAGAGCGGGTGGGGGCTGGAGGTTAGCTGGGAGGCGACTGCAGTGATCCCAGCACTGGATGATGGTTTGGACCAAGGTGGTAGGAGAAGCAGGCAGTTCCTGGAAGATTCTTCCAGTTAAAAGACTTCAAAAACACCACCATTAACTCTAGAAGAAATCTCGGGATGTGCACCCTCAGAGGACTCAGTTTGGCCTGTTAGAGGGTCTCCAGAGGTATTTCCCAAACCAGACAACTGAAGGGGAAACAGAGGCATATTATCACATCTGGCAATAGAATGAAGCATAACTATGGAGAAAACAGATAATCCAGACCCACCTCTTCATAGACTTGCCTTAGTATTTTTCTCCTAATCATATGAGTTATAGGGATTTCTTTAATTGACGGATGTGAAGACATTGATGGTTTAAATCTCATTGCTATTCTGTTTGGAAGTGGGTGTTTGACAGTTTTTATTTTATCTTCTGTGTGTATGTGTGAGAGAGAGAAAGAGGGAGAGACAGAGAGAAAGAAGAAATGAGATGGGGGTGGGGTGGGAGGGACAAGGACAGGCTGAGAGGTAAGAGCTGGAGCTGCTGTTATTCCCTGGGCAATAAAGGCCTGAAATCCTACTAATGAGGTTAAAAAAGTCTTTTTCTGTGTGCTTAATAATAGCACTGCCTACTGACATAACCAAGGTTCCCAGAATAATTGCCCTCTTTCCTATTTTTATTTTCAAGACCTGAAAAAAATAACAAAACAAAACAACAAAAAAAACACCATTTTTTTTTTTTGAGGGGAAAGTGCCTTTGGATTCAGAGCATTTCCATCTAAAATTTCAATTCTAGTGCTTCAACATTTGCCCCTAAACCCTGTCAAATGCATCCTTTCAAGTGAAAGATAAGTGAAAGTGAAGGGTGAAACCGAAATTCATCGCTGGAGTTTTCTGGATGGTTTGTCTTTAGTAGGAGGATGCGAGATTGAGCCTTTGCTGCAATTCCGTCTTCCCCAAATTGGAGGCTCTTCCCATGACAGTTTTATCTGGTGCCTTTGTGGGCAACATTTGTAGTTGTCAATAACAAAATGAAAGGGTTTAGAAAGTTGCAGAATTTTACCAGAACATTCAACTTGGAGGGAAAAAAATGATCTGAGGCATAGTATATGCTAATACAGTTGCAGCCCTCCATAAGAATGGAATTATTTGAAACACATATATTTAGAGAGTTTTGTTTTGTTTTGAATAGGCTCTCAGCATGTCTAGGTGGATTTAAGATGGAAGGTATGTTGAGAGGTGCAATTCTGAAAAACACTGTAAAAATTTGTTTCTGTAAATTTCTGCAACCAAAAGTACCTTATAAGAAGGAGACAGATACTGATTTTTAAAAAAGAAGAGAATATGATCAAATCAGAGCTTGTGATAAATATTGGTTGACAATCTGGATTAGATTGCCAGAATTATTTTTGTGGTGGGCTATTTTGAGTAGGCAGTAACCTTTCTTTTGAGATACAGATTCCCATGTTGACTTTTTAGCCTTTAGTCACCCCCCTCGCTGTTGTACGATCCTGTGCACATTCCGTCCCATCTTTCTGCTATAAAACTGCACATGTGAAAAGTCTAACGTTATTAAAGACAGGCTCACACACCCTCCTACCAATCACTTTTTTCTCATTCTTTTTGCAGGAGTTGGCTGTGAGTTTCAGGGAGGGGAAAGACTCTCATTAACAAAGCATTGTCACTACCATAGACGGTCATATATACAACTAGAGATATGAAAAATTGTGCTGTATATGTGTGATAAGAATTGTAATGCATTCCACTGTCATTTATTTTCTTAAAAAATCAATAAAAAATTAGTAAAGTGTTTATATTGCTCCTTCTCCCTTAAGAATAACTTATTAAAAGAGGACACATGGTTAAATTGAACAAATTACAATACAGCAATGTGTACCTGAAACAGTCCTGAGCCCATGTTACCAAGATCTTTCCATGCATGTGTTCAAAAGATGTGTGCTGTGTTTGCCTTTCTTGAGCTCCTCCATGCTCCCCGATGCTAAACAGCATGCTTCACGAAAGGAAAATAGAACCACTTTTCTGTGCAGATGTTGACATTTAGTTCATGGAGAAACGGACCAAGAACTACATATACCTAAAGGAAACGGGTACTTACGTTTAGAGAAACATGCTTATGCAAGCCAGTCTTTTAGGAAGAAAGCAGATAGCTCTCTTTGCCTTTGAAGATTTCAATATTTACTTTTTTTGAAGGTGACCAGATGATCCCTCTCAGTTCCTTCTGTAATTCAGATACATCAAATACAGGATGGAACTTTATAAAATTCAGTTTGGTATTCCATTGCAGAAGTGCATTATTGCTTCCTTGAGGAAAACAATCTGTGTCTGGCCAGGTGCCATTTCCTTTACTTCTGCACAGAGTTTCCTCTGAGGACTCAGAAATGCTGAGTTAATTTGCTTAGGGAAATGTAGACCTAAGCCTGCTACCTCAGTTGTATGATTTATCTACTCAGTGTACCAGATTCTGAAAGTTAGAACAAATATGCTTTATATTTCAAAGGGCTACTTACAAAATAAAGGTGGTGTTGATTCCAGGTAAAATTTGAAGGCCTCTTCTCCAAATGCCTAGTTCCTCTCCCTTTAGCACACACCCTACTGTGGAGGGAGGAGGAATGTATCTAAGGAAGGGATCTGATGGCAATCATTGGTATATATTTGGGAATACCAGAAAACATTCTACTCTCTTTTAGGAGTGATAGTTTTGTAGACCAAATCTCTAATTATGGAAGACATTACTTTTGCAACTTCATCACCATTCAGCATGGGAAATGTTGCATACAATGCACTCTTCCTGATCAGACCTGAAATTATACTGAACAGGCTTCATTCACTCTATGTGCTAACTCATCCTAGCATAGAGTAGCACAGATAATAAGGTAGATTTACTTACCCACAAATCATAAGCTTTATGAAATTTCCTTAGCTCTGTCATGCCACTGGGTACCATAAGAAATTGTTGATTTCAATACCTCTAATGGCACCTTCATATAGTAAAAGAAGGTATACCACTTGGAGCTGGGGTAGTGATCCTGTTTCTTTTTTCCTTCTTTTTCTTTTATTTTTTTCATCCTGCCTGTGTTTCACTGTATGAAATAAATAGATTACCTCTCAAACACAATTTGTCTTTATGCTTCTAGGCGATATTGATCGGCAAGAGATGGTTCCAAATAAGAAGAGTGCTGTTCTTGTAGATGGGGTTGTACTGAATGGCCCTACAACAAATGCAAAAACTGGAGAAAAATTTGTTGAAGAGGCCTGTAAGCTAATAATGGAAGAGGTGGTTTTGAAAGCTACAGATATCAATGAAAAGGTAAAAATAATTTTATCTGTATGAAAAATCTGGGCTCAGTGTTGCATGTCTATAATCTCAGTCATTTGGGAGACTGAGGCAGAAATGGGAAAAATAGATCTTTCCCATATCTATATGGCTTTATATAAGGAAAATGAAAAATGCAGGCTTTCATTTCCCAGGGACCCTTGTCTCAAGGGATGATGTCCAGATACCAGTGTTTGGGTCATTTCCCTCCTTGATCCCCACCCAGTGTTTACCTTCCCTGAGGACTGACTTTTGTCAGCCATCATTTGTTGGGAGATCAACTGAGACTCCAGGGCTTAACCAGATTAGGCTCTGAAACACAGTGATGAAGCTTCCTGCCCTTGGTAGTAATATGGATTATAAATAATCTGCTGCTGCTATGATTTGTACACTCTAAAACATACTGTTTTCTCTATTTTATTTTATTTTATTTTTCCTTCCTTCCTTCCCCAACTCCTCCCCCCCACCCTCTCTTCCCTTCTTTCTTTTGCTTGGGATGGAATTGAAGGCCTCATCCATACTTCATAAGCACTCCCACTAAGTTTCATCCCCCAACTCCTCTCTATTTTATTGTAAATATCCTTCATATTGCAAGTGAAAAATCAAACAGAAGGTTGAAAAGGCTATGAAATATCTTTTTATTAATCTAACATTCCTTCCCAGAATCTTGTCTGAGCTTAGACTAGAAACCTTGGGTTATTAAATCTGATCCCTGTCTGATACCGATTACTTATTCTAAGTTTGAAATACAAGCTCAAATTCAGTTTCAAATTGTTATTAAAACTACTAATAATAACATTGACTCTCAAGAGTATTTACTCCATGCTAGGCTCTGTTCTAAGTTCTACCTCATATGTATTTGCGCATTTAATCCTTAATGTTGGTTAACAGAGCCTGGGGTGAATGGGGGAAACAGATATGGGGAATGACTGGTCAAGGGGTGTTAACTTACAGTTAGAGGAGAAATAAATTCCTTGATATTCTATTGCCCAATAGGGTGACTGTAGATAATGTACCATATATTTCACAAAAGCTAAAAGAAAGGATTTTGAATATTTCCATTACAGAGAAATGATAAATCCTTGGGGAGATAGATATGCTTTTCCTGATTTGAACATTATTTGATGTATATAAGTATTGAAATAACACATGGACCCCATAAATATGTACAATCTTTAAGTGTCAATTAAAAACTAAAAATTAAAATTAAAAACCTAAAAGACAGGTACTAATTACTGTCCCATTTTAGTGATGAGGGAAAAAATTAGGCATACAGGGATCAAATATATTGCCCAATATCATTCACTAGTGAGTATCTGAGCTGGAGCTAAATTGCAGGCAATCTAGCATTAGAATCTTCACTCTTTAACTTCTTCATATACGTCTAAAAAATCACTAAATTACCTTTTATGACACTGATCAGTTTTCATGTTGGAATTGGATTACTAACAAATGAGCATATGGTAGAGACCCTCCCAATTATATTAGCAGGAAATAGAACTCATATTAAAAGGATTTTGAATGTGGTGGTATTTATTCTGAATTTTTGGTCATATTCCTTTGAGAAAACCAACAGAATAGGTCTATATGACCTGTGAACTTGGAATAGTTATGTTCAAGGCAAAAGTGCTGATGGTATTTCTTATCCATTCAAATTATATATTTATAATTGCATATTTTTGGTCTTCTCTGTATTTGTGAAATACTTTGGACCTGGTTTGCATTGGAGCCCACAGCTCCTCTGGCAAGTGTGTTTTTAAATTGGCCTTTATTCAGTCATTAAATATTAACTGAGTGTTAGCTACTGGTGAGGCATTATATTCAGCCCTGGAGGATACAAAGAAACATAAGATAAAGACCCAGCTTTGAACAGAATTCATAATCTAATTGGAAGGATAAATTTTCATTGGAAAAAGAGAAAAGAGGTCCCAGTGAGAATGTGATAAATGCTGTGAATTTGGGGCAGACTTTAGGGATTTCACAGAAAAATGGGAACTTTGAACTTTGATGCAGAGTGTAAAGTTTGAGTAAGATTTTGGTGGGTAGAGAGAAATCTCCAGTGGGCATGCTTCTTTCTAGGGATATTAAAGAAAGCAGAAACATAAACAATGGAAAGAATATTGCAGAAGGCCAAGATGCACCCGAGTGCAGGGGTGCATGCCTACAATCCCAGTCACTCAGGAAGCTGAGGCAGGAGGGTCACAAATTTGAGGTCAGCCTAAGCAATTTAGTGAGACCCCATCTCAAAATTAAAAAAATAAAAATGGCTGGGAATGTAACTCAGTGGTAGAGTGCCCTGGGTTCACTGTACAAAAATAAAAAAAAAAGAAAAAAAGAAATATGTATTGAATACAGCAAAAGGCTTTTTATTTTTATTTTTCTTTGGAAAGAAAGGCTCATACACAGGGTACTAATTGGAGTTGTGAGGCTTGTCATCCTAAGTTATCAATTAAGGAAGCACACATGGAACACAGTATTGTAGATGTGCAGGATGTCCATTCATATGAAGTTTGAATGAAAGCATTTAGGGGCTGGGGATGGAGGTAAAGATTTTATACCACCAACTTGACCTTTGTCTGAGATTCAATAGGACACAATTAAAAGGTGACCTGCAATACTCTTGGGGAGATGATTACTCCTAGTGCCCTCTCTAGTAAGCATTCTTTCTCAGCCATTTTTTTAAAAACTTGATTTATAATTTAGATTCAGTAAAGTATACTCCTTTTGATGTGCAGTTTCATGAACTTTGACAAGTCATGAAACCATCACCACAAGTAAGATATAGAACAGTTTCATCTCCCTCCCAATTTCCCCATGCCCCTTCATAACCAACCACTCATGGCCCCTCCAGCCCCTGGAAAACCCCTGGTCTATTTTCTGTCCTGTAGTTTTTGTCTTTTCCATGGGTGTCGTGCAGATGGCATCATGTCAGAAGTAGCCTTTTGAGACTTGCTGTTCTCCCTTATCAAAATTCATTCGAGACTCATCCACACTGTGAGTGTATCCACAGACATTTCCGTGGGCTGTCTTAGGCACTGTGCTATCCCTCTTCCGGTCATAGCTACACCATCAGTTTAATTTCATGCTTCTCACACCACTTGCTATTTTTCCCAACTTCCCACCTCCCAGGCTTCTCACTCCCTGGCTATTCCCCGGTCTCTCTCCTTCCCACTTCACAAGCAAACTTTTTTTTTTTTTCAAGATTGTCTACACTCCCTCCCTCCATTTTGTCACCTCCCACATCCTCACTTCACCACAATCTGGCCTCCACCCGCACCTCTCTAAGTCACACTGCTCTTGCCAAGAACACCTCCTTGTTGATAAAGCCCATGAACACTTCTCAGTCTTTATCTCATTTGGCATCTCAGAAGTATTTGGCAGTGGCCACCATCTTCTCCTTAAAACATTCTTCATTTTTGGTTTTGGTGGTGTCGAGTTCTCCTAGTCTCCCTTCCTGGCCTGACCTCCATCTGCAAGGTGAGCTCCTGTGCCCATCCCTTAAGTGTTCCTGTGCCTTCTCCTCTTCTCTGTAGATTCTCTCTGGACTGTGACATCCATCTCTGACCCTGATCTTTAACAAGAGCATCAGACTGAGTGCTACACCCCTTTTGGATGTTCTAAGGGTGACTTAGACTAAGTCTAAGTCATCATCCTCACCCTACTTCCAAACAGACCCTTCTCCAGCTATCTCGTTGCCACCATAAGATCTTGTGTCTAAGACAGAAACCTCATCATTTTCTTTGACTTGTCCCTCATTTTCATCCTAACCATCTTACTCACTTCCAAGTTCTATTGATTCTGCATTCGAAATACCTCTAGAAACCATATACTTCTTTTCTAAAGCACCTACCTTTATCCAAACAACCATCTTCTCTTGCCTGCTCTGTTATAGTTACCTCCTTTTTCTAATTCATTTGGAATTTCTACTTAGCAAGTAAAGTTATTGTCTAAAACACATATGACCATTTACTTCACCTATCTTGAACATTTTAATGAGTTTCTCAGCCAAGTCAAGCTCAGTAGTAGTTCTCATAAAGCCTGCCATGTTTTAGCTTTATCTCTCCACTTATTCATCTAGTTATTCAGTACCCCTGTATTGAGCACCTATTCTTTCGGAGGCTCTATGTTACTTGCTTGGAATCAGTGAATGAATAGACCAAGTTCTCCACTCTCATTAAGATTATGTAGGTCATAATAAGTGAGTAACACAGTATTTGAAACATTATAAATGCTGCGGACACAATAAGAGAAAGGGAGACACTGATAGAGATTGGGAAATGGGCAGGTAACTTTTGCTTGAGTCAATTCTTTTTTATTTTGTGTCACAACTTGGATATAGGTTCCTCCAGGAAATCTTTGAAGATCTGAGACCTCTCTTCTGTTCCAACAGTATCTGCATTATTCTCATAGCTCTTTTGTGCTGAAGTAGGGTGACATGCTCAAATCTCTACATCTCCCAATTATCTGGGAGCTTTGTAAGGGTCAAGTTGGTGCTTCTAACATCTTCCTGATCTTGGGCTTCTGCCATGCTCAGTTAATTACATTCTGTTGCTGAATCTCCAGGTGTGTGAGTGGCAGCCTCCTGAACAACTGAAAAAGCTTCTTGATTTGGAGGTGAGAGACACAGGTGAATCACATGACCGGCTGTTGAAACTCTGCCAGGATGTCATACGCTTCAGCGTCAAAACAAGTAAGAACCTCAGTTTACTTCCTTCGACTATGCTTCTGACAAGTTCTTAGATTTTTAAAGCATTTAGTTACCCCTTAAAAGAGCAATTCTGATAATGTTTATGGAATGAGAAACCTAGATTTAAAAAAAATAGAGGTTATGATGTTTTTACAGTGGTTCATTTAATTCCTAATCCAGATTTGTTGTCAAGTTCAAAGATAATAGTAAAAATTTTGGTGTTGGTGTTTAATGTAAATATTATCTGTTCCTTGCCAGTCTCCATCCTCCATCTATAAACAAGACCATATATTTTTATCACTGTTACTTATCATTTCTTGAGTTGGTCCAAACTGGCAAATGATATTTTGATTCTATGAATTTGCCAAGGGATTTTAAGTCTTTATGGCTTTTCTAGAATATGCAAAAAAATATGTTCAAGAGCATATCTGTAATATAAACAGGAAGAGATTTATCTGGAAGACACTGATTAACTCTTGGCAGTTGATAATCGCTAAATTATTTTTATCATATCTGGCAAGATCAAAAAAATGAAAACCTTCAGGCAGATATAAGCAAAATGAAAGTGTGGCAAGTTTTGCTGTGATTGCTTCACACTAATGCCACAGCCACTGTGATCTGTTGTACATGCAGTGGCTTGACATCAGTCCTACATGGAAGCACTCTTCCAACTTGACTGTTAATGACTTATACACCCAATGAGCAAATTTCAAAAGTGGGAGAAAAACTTTCCAAAGTATGCATTTCTCTGTGTGATTGTGAAGGTAATCCAGTGCTGAAAACCGTATAGGCATATTATGCTTTGTGAATTCTGACACTGGACTAAATTTAGTGGAAAGAACATAATAAAATCCTGGCTAAATATAATTGGTTTATATTCCCTTGGGAAAGTCTGGTGTATGTATCAAAAATTCAGTTAGCATTTCAAAAGCAGAGATACATATCTTATTATTATAGTGCATGTCAGAAGTGTAGAATGACATTTAATGCAGTAGATTTTTTAGTTTACTGGATATTTTCCATAATGTTACCATGGAAATCAATCATAAATTAACACAGAACTAAAAAAAAAATCTTATTAAAATTACTTGTAGCAATGTCTGGTTTCCTTTGCCAGATCAGAGGAAGTTTTCCATGTTTTAATTGAAAAGACATTTTCTTTTGAGATTTATTTTTTTCTTTATTGAATTCTTAGTTGAAAGAAGAAAGAAGAGCATTCAAGTTAAATTCTGTAAATTGTAATGAGGGGTCACTAACTAAAATGGTTCCTGAATCCTAAAATTAGAACTAGACCTCCTATCTCTTTGTTCCTTGTCCTGCTGAGCTTCCTATGACTGAGAATGTCAAGCCAGTTAGCCTGGTGTTTGGTGTGAATATCTGCACTGTGTTAAGCTAAGAACCTTTTGGGACCTTTCATATGAGAAAAAAAAAAAGAGGTGGAAAATTGGAACTAGATGTTGAATCTTAAAGGAGGCTGTGTTTGAAGTCAGTTGAATCATAAAGTGTAAGTACGCTGCACGATGAGTCACATCTCCATCTACATAATACCAACCATACCATCCAATCTGGAAAATGCAAAGGCCCCTGGCAGCCTGTAGCCTGAGGTGAACCCTATTGATGAGTGAACTGCATTTGAAGTGAGGGAAGTCAACCCTACTACTTTCAGGAGATAAAGGCAGCAGGCCGTGGTACTTGGGCCAACAGTGTTCAGATCCATTTCTCAAGGGTTCGAGTTGGATGTGGATGGTAAAGAGCAGGATGTCATCAGAGCTCTTAAGAGAAGGCTCAAGTTTTACTTAGAAATATCAGGCAATAGAGAGGGTGATGAGAAAGGTCTTCAATATCGCTTTCCTATAAAATTTTCTTTTGGATGTTTTTTAAGACTGAAGTGTAATTCCTATTTGATAAAGTGTGTAAATCTTTCATGTTCAGCTCAATAAATTTGCACACATGAATGAAACCACCACCCAAGTCAGGATTGGGGACATTTCTAGCACCCAGAGGCTCCTCAATCCCTCTCCCAGTCAACAGTTCCTTCCCCAGCATACCCAGAGTTCTAAAGTCTCTCTCCATAGGTGGATTTGCTGATTTTGGCTGATTTCGAGTGTCTTATAAATGGGATCATGCTATGCATATTCCTTTGTGTCTTGTCACTTTCATTGTCTGATGTATTCATGTTATTATTGTACTGATACTTTTGATTACTGTATAGTGAATACTTTGTTTTAAATTTATAGACCACCCAAGATTTTTCAACCAGTTGTATGCTGGACTTGATTATTACTCCTTGGCGGCCCGATTTATGACAGAAGCATTAAACCCCAGCATGTAAGTGCCATGTTCCTGCAATTTCTCACCTAATAAGGATAAGAGATGTTTAAATAGAGGCAATTTTATTTCTTGAATTTCTGTTTAATGGTTTCTTTTATCATAAATCATGGGATAGTCTTATGACACCAGTGTTCAAGCAGCTATTTGAACAGTGGTACCGTAAGAAGGGTCAGGCAGGTAACCTCCATGTTACCTTCATTGAACAGAGGAGAACATGGACTAAGCAAATTTTCATTCATTCCTGCATGAAAAACCATCTGTGCTCAGTGACAGAGAGACTTTGAATGAAAATAAACCTCGATTGTGTCCTCATGAAGCATAAAATCTGGTGAGAGAAAGAGCCATACTAGTAAAAATTGGCATTAATGTAAAATTCAGTCTCTTAAGTGCAGGAGAGGTACACAGTGCCATAAGTGTAACTGGGGAAGTTTTTTCTAATTGTGAACTTAGGAAATTTTTCTCTGAAAAAGTGACAGCTAAGAGCTGAAGGACGAGTAACAGTTAACTGGATGGAATGGGGGGAACCGGTTTCCAGTAGAAGGAATTGCACATACAAAGGGCCCTGTGGTGGGGGCAGCATGATATACTCTATGAATGGAAAGGTCAATGTGGGTGTAGCTGACAGAGCAACAGGGAGTGTAGAGGAGGATAATATGGGGGAGAGAGAAAGAAGCTAGACATGCAGAGCCTTGTGGAGTATGTTCATGAGTTATTCTAAGTACATTGGAAAGTTCTTAAAGGTTTCTAAATCACTGGGTGACATTTGCTATTAAAAAGATTGCTAGAAATTTGGAGAGTGCATTGGAGGAGATCTGTCAGGAAGGCATCTCCTTAGTCAGATGAGAGACCTTAGCAGTTTGGATTTAGGTGGAAGCAGAAGGAATAGAGAGGGAAAAAAATATGTTTGGAAGATAAAACATGAAGGACTGGATAATATGTTGGATGTTGGAAATGAGGACAAGGGGGAAGTTTCTAAGATAATACCTAAGTTTCAGGCTTTCATAGTTGGTTCACGGTCATGTCACTCATCAATTCGGGAGGCCTTGGGAGAGGGGACCAGTTTTCAAGTATTCACTGGAAAAGCCCAGATCAAGAATTTAATGTTCAATTGTGGACATTTGAGTTTGAGATATCCAACAAGAAAGACCAAGTAATCTGAGACATACATGAGCCAGAAATTCTGGTATCTATAGGAATTAAAAAGTTGTTGGTGAAATGACTGTAATTGGAATATGCACGAGATTGCCAAAACCAGTGATTCTCACTCCCCACTGCCCACTAGAGTCAACCTGGGAACCGTTAAAAACAGAATTGGTGCCTGGATCCTACAGACCAATTAAATATGAATTTCCCTGTGTGTGCCTCATCTAGGGATATATTGCATGTGATTTTAGTGAGCAGCCAGGAGGGAGAATCACTATCATGAGGAAAGAGCATAGAATAAGGAGAGAAGGGGGCTGTTTTCTTCTCGACTGGGCCTTGAGGGCATCTAACAATTAATGAGTAGGAGGAGTCAGATCAGCCCACAATAGAGAGAGACCCGGAGAAAATCAAGGGGATTGGTATGGAAGCCAGGAGGAGAGTTTGTTTAGGGTCATATGTTATTGGGCAGTTAGCTAAGACAAAAACAGTGTCCACCCAATTACCACATGGATGCCATGGGTGGCCTCAGAGATATTTGGCGCAGTAATGAGAGAAAAAACAGCTACCACATGCAGAAGAGGAGGTAATACATAAGTTGGAAAAGACAATAAGATTACATAACTCTGTGGCTGTGCATGGTGGCACATAACCTGTAATCCCAGTGGATCAGGAGGCTGAGGCAGGAGAATTGCTAGTTCAAAACCAGCCTCCATAAAAGCAAGGTGCTAAGCAACTCAGTGAGACCCTGTCTCTAAATAAAATACAAAATATAGTCAAGGGAGGTGGTTCAGTGGTCAAGTGCACCCGAGTTCAATCCCTAGTACCAAAAATAAATAAATAAATAAATAAATAAATAACAAAGATTACATGACTTTTTGAACCCTTGGCTGTTCTAGGTATTTAATCTGAAAAATTGAGAAATTTTGATAAGTGTTAAACTGCTGCCAAACTGAACCATCCATTCAAAATGTGGCTCATCCTTGAGTGTGTTCTCTATCATCCTGTCCACCTGCAAGCCCCTTTCTCAGATGTACAGTTGAGCTAGTTTTCAATAGTACGTGTAATACTAACTCTTTGTTACAAAAAAAAGAATGATTATTCTATTAATATTTTAGGTACACCTGAATGTATACGTGTTTTTCGCACCTCTAGTATGTGTGTAAACTGTTTTCAAAGTGTGGTTGAAAACAGAGCCTATCTTGTTTTTTAAATGGTGTAGTATTTGTAGAGTTCTTGGCACGTAGGTAGGTGATACCGAGTAGATATTTAATGTTTTTGCCTCCATTCCAAAGCTTTCCCTTCCAGATGTTAAAATAATTGCATCAAATTCTGTGACTATAAATCTAAATGAATCTACTTAGCCTACATATTTAGAGAACACATTTATTCAGATACAATTTAACGTAATCACCTAATTGAGTAGGAGATTAGAGATGTTTAGTCATCCTCAAGTTATCTGGAGGAGAAAAGAGACTCAAACATTACAAAACAAGGTGCAATCACGGATGTCATCTGGGTTCCCTGGGAAGTCCCTCTTTAGTGGATGCTCATTAGGGAGTAACCTTGTCCTGAACTTGAGTGGCTGGGAAAGTGGGGGGATAGGAGGCAGGAGTGTAGGGATAGAAGCTAAGCTGCCGGGCAGCCTCAATGATGATCTCTGGAGTAGATCTCTAGATCTCACTCTGAGATCTCTGGAGTGACCAGTCATAATGTATGGACTGCCACAAGAAGGGATGTGATCTGGAGGAGGCGGCTCCCTGCAGACGAGGCTTTCCCAGTCAGGGCTGATGTTGCAAAGCTTTCTGACAACAGCATTCCACACTAGAGCCACAAATGCTTCACAGAGGAAGAATCTGGATAGAGTTTCCAGTAGGATCATCACTCAGTGAGAGCTGTCCCCCAGAATACTTCCCATCTGTATCGATGCAGGGAGTGTGGTGGAGGAAGCCACAGTTAGGTGTGACTCCATGTAAAACATCTAGACCTGACTGTTAGCATGCTCCTAGTAGTAATCTAATAAAACCTGGTTTCCAAGACAATGGCTTTTCTGTAACCAACATCAGCATCCAGTGCAGCATATCCAAAGTATCCAAATACTGACACACCACTGCCTATGGCTAATACCAAGAATCTCAATATCCTGCCTTGTTCTCTCCTCATGGAATTGATGGTGTCTTCTCAACTAGGGCTGCTGAAATAGCTTGCCTGTCTCCTACACCACTGGCTCCTAGCATTATCTAACCATGCCCAATGCTATCACGGAGGGAGCAATTCTTTATTTCCAATGGATGAATTTCCAAAGACGACCTACATCTCAGAAGCCCCTTGGTTTAATAAAACTCTGTGCATTTCTTGGGACACCCAAGGGATGTTTTGACTCTAGTCATAGAAGTGAAGTGTTTTTTATATCTATCTAGTTATACGTATGAGGTGTCCCCAGTGTTTCTGTTAGTGGAAGAAGCGGTTCTGAAGAAAATGATTGAATTTATTGGCTGGAAAGAAGGGGATGGAATATTTAACCCAGGTGAGTACAATTAGTTATTGCCGTCACCCTTCCACTATGAGCATCTAAAATTGTATTCATTTGATAAAAAAAAACTCCTTGCAGATTTACATATTACAGAAAATTGGGTATTAATGATGCTACTTGGTAAGCAAATAGCTTATGCCTTTCTCCAGAGTGATGATATTTTGCATAAATGCTAAATAAATGACATACATACTTAACAAATAAAATGTCTACAATTTAGGATTTATGTCTAACACGAATGAATTTGTCTGCTGTTGGGAATTTGGAAAGGCAATGATAAGTCCTCCAAATTTTAAAACCAATTTTACTAGAGAAATTTCCTAAAGTTCATTTCTTTATCCTACAATTATTTTTTGACCCAGAGATGAGCACATATTTTTATTTCAATTTTCTTGATCAGGGAACATACAGAAAGAATATTACTAATTATGTGAAGACTTGGGCCAGACTTGCTGGTGCTCATCTGCAATCCCAGCTACTTGGGAGGATGAGGCAGGAGGATTACAAGTTCAAGGCCAGCCTCAGCAATTTAGTAAAGTCCTAAGCAACTTAGAGAGATCCTGTCTCAAAAGAAAAAATAAAAAAAGGACTGGGGATGTGACTTAGTGGCTAAGTGCACCTGGGTTCAATTCCTGATACAAAAAAAAAAGAAAGAAAGAAAGAAAATTATGGAGACTTGGGTACTAAGCTCAAACACTGAAAGTTTTTAAGTGTGGAAAACCACTGAAATGAGAAAATAGACCAAACTTCTGTCTCAGCTGACATTGAAAAGTTCTGGAGTTGGTGATTAAGGAATATTCAGAGTGACGGGAGGAGGGTGGTACTTGGGTGCCTTTTACATTGACATCTTTAGCCTAGAACAGTCATGAACATCCCTGCTTTCCACTGTATTCAGTACTTTAAGTAGTATAACTCCATGCCATAAGTATGACATTTAAATTTTGTTTTTGCAGGTGGTTCAGTGTCCAATATGTATGCAATGAATTTAGCTAGATACAAATATTGTCCTGATATTAAAGAAAAGGGGCTGTTTGGGTTGCCAAGATTAACCCTTTTCACATCTGCAGAGGTAAAACATTATTCTTATTATTAGACATACATTTTTCTGGGTATGCATTATTTAAGAGAACTCATTTGTTTGAGGACCCTTGTTGTAATTGTATCCTACACTCTTGTGATTAATATGCCTAAGTATAATATAATATTGCATTCCAAAGGGAATTCTGATGGGCCTAGTTTTGAAACCCTAGCCATCCAATTTTGTACATCACCTTTTGAAAAAAATTTATAAATTTTATATAATTTATAAAATTTATAAATATAGTATGTTATGTATTCTTTGAGTCAAGAATCTTGAATTTGAAGTGCTATCTTTGCATTTTCTCTATGAGTATCCTGTGTCTTAGAACTTAGATGACCGCTACTGTTCTCAGCTATGTTTTCTACTCACATTTTCTTGTAAAATGGCTTTAATTGGCTAATATAATGGGTTCTTATTTTCATTTTCAAGGTGAAAGGAAGATATTTGGTAACAACATTGCATGCACGTGCGTGCACACACACACACATACACACACATACAATTTTATGTTGCCACAGTCTCCTGTCTCTAATCTTACACTTCACTGAAGTCCAAGGTCAGGTTGTAGATACATGCATTGGCTTTGAGCTGGACTGGCTGGATTTAGTAACCATCCCGTCACTTCCCATTTGAGTGACATTGGATAAGTCGATTAACTCCTCTGTGCCTCAGTTTCCTAATTTGTAAAAATGAGTGTATCAATCCTCATACCTAATAAATTATGCCAAAACCTAGTAGCTTAGAACTAAAAACTATATATTATCACCTGTAAGTCTCAGGATAGCTAGGCAGTTCTGCTGTCCTTGACTGGACAGTGCCTTATATGTCCAGGGACTGGCGGGCTAATTGCTGATGTAGGAGTGGCCCAGCCGGGACAACTGCAGTGGCTCTCCTCCACCTCAGGTGTCTATCAGCCTCTGGCATGTAGTCTTGGTATGTTCTCATGGCAGCCATGTAGGTGATCTACAATATGGTAACATACTGGGCTTCTTGATTCCTAGCCTCAGTACTGGCACATTGTCACCTATGCCTTATTGTCAGACAAAGTAAGTCTCATCTCTGAACCCAGATCCATGGGAAATAGACTATACCTTTAAGGAAACATGCTGCAGTCACCTGAAAGATATAGGTAGCAATGAACAGCTGGGCCCATAAGGCTGCCCAGAAACTACATAATAGTCACTGATGAGTGAGTAGTTGCAAAGACTAAATGAATCTGGGACATCATGGATATAAAAAATATTAGCTACTATTAATAGGAGGAGAACGAGCCACCTATAAGACGTGGGTAGAAATGGATAGTACAGCTTAAGTACAGTTTTATCTAGAAGATTCTTATTTTCTCCTTTTTCTATTTCTGTGTGATTCCAGTGGATTCCTTTGTCCTTCTGACACTGCTTCCTCCCCAGGTCCCTGGAAGGAAGTTTAGCTTCTTCAGCTTCTGTGAGAATACTAGGTCTCTTATCAACAACTTGAGGTGGGCAAAATCTGAAATCTCTATATAATTTCCAGCTGGGCTTTTCTGAATCTGTTATTTTATTCTAAGAACAAAAGTTACTTGATTAATGCAAAACAACACATTGTGCCCAAAGTGACCCAAAGTGCAAGGAAGTCCAGCCGCCCCCATGTTTTCCTCCCGTCCTGTCTAACCGTCACTGTTTGCATCAGCACTAAGGTGCAGAGCAGGAGTTGAGTGGTGGGAGGCACCTGAGAGGAGTCCCCTGGGAAGTGTCATCTGTTCAGATCCCTGACTCAGCCACCCACAACCCTTCTTCATACCATGTTGTTTCTGTAGCAAGAGAAGAATAATAATGGGGACAACTGGGGAACATACCTGGTTATTTGGGATTACTGCAGAAGAGGGCTTCCCTCTCCAGGTTCCAGCCTGGATATTTCAGTCTGAGAAAACTTAGTGGATCAGAAAAGCACCGGCCTTTCAATGTTTGGGTCGCCAGTTCCAAGCCTGGGAAAACTGATGAAATGGGGCCTGGCTGTCTGTTCAGTACTTTTATTTTTGCCCTTTTTTCATTTTGTTTTAAAATTTGCTAGCATTTCCTTTGTGGCATAATTGCCCTGGAAAGGGAGAAGAAATCATGTTGAAAGCCTAGACTAAACATCACACCTGGGAAAGACCTGTAACACAAGTGTGACTGGGGAATGGAGAGTCGCAAGAAATGGAATTCTTATGTCATTGTGAAACCAGAACTCAGGGATTCAGTGAGGTTGTTCGGCTTTTGTTTTTGTTTTGTTTTGTTTTTCCCAAGAGGCAAAATGTATGCCATGGATAACAAGCCGGTAGAGGTTGGCGCCAGAAAATCCAAGAGCTGGATGTGAATTCCCCAGAAAAATTCCAACCCTGTGAGCCTACTGTGGCCTTGAATATATATTTTCACTCCCTCCCTCCAGACTCCACTTTGTAGCTCATGCCTTCCCTGATCTGCCTGAAGAGACTGGGGCATGGCATTTGCATTACTTTAATTTATAATTTAATAACCACCTTTACTCTTATTATAACAATTCAATCTATTCTCTTGTTAAAAAAAAATTAAAGAATGTTTTTACTAAACAGTCTTCAATCCTATGGAAGATTTTTGCTAGATCTTTGTGGTTTTTTTGTTTGTTTGTTTCTTTCTTTCTTTGTGTGTTTTAGGTGTGTGGTCCGTGGCCCAGAGATTGTGTTCCTCTACTGTCTTATTAGGTGTCCCAGTGCCCCTCAGTTTTCATGCTTCCCCAGGTGACTCTATCTCTGTCTTGCACCATTTTTGCATTGTTCAGGTTTGAATTTGGATCCAGCTATTGGTAGAGATCTGCAAGATCTAACAGAGTCCCCCCTGTGCTATCAATATATCCAAAAATAGCCTCCCAGGTGCTAAATGGCAAAGAGAAAGGAAATTCTGGAGAAAAGTAATTGAAGTCATAAAATTATGACTTGATTAGTTCTTTGATATGAATTCCTTAGGCATGCTGAAATATTAGATTTGCAAAGTTCCTGAGTAATTCAAATCATTTTAGGAATCCACATAAAGTAGTGATCACTGACCGACAGGGAAAGGTGAAAGTACAGAGAAACTCACCTCCCATGCCAGTGACCAATGGGACCAGTTTGTCTTTGTCAGGGTCCTTGCTGGAGGGGGCAATTGAGATGTTGGGGGGTGCGTGGCTAAGGGTTGTCCCTCCTTACACTCTGTACCCTGGTGCCTCACTGAGTTGGGCTGGGATGTTACCTCCAGTCTTCTCGACAGCACACAGGGGTACCATGGGCTCTCCTGATAAGCATAAGGCTAAGTCCATCCACCTGGATTCTTAATTCTGTCTCTTTAGGAGTTGAACCTGCAGTGTGTTTTTGAAGAGATCCCCTGGATTCTATTTCATTTCATTCTTCCTTAACATGCCACATGTATCAACTCCACTCTCCCTACCAGCTAATTTGAATATCAAAATAGTCAAGCCCTGGAAGGAGTCCACATGTCCAGGGCACAGTGCATGTTGAGGAGAGAGCAGCAGTTCATTGAGAAATCCAAGGTCATAGGGGAAAAAGAAAGAAATCCTTGCAGGAACCAGAAAGTAAAACTTCAGCTCAATGCTGTCTTTCATGTAGGCACTTTCTGTTTTATCTTGATAGAAATGAGCACCCGCTGAGATTTTTGTGCCTTCTGTAGATTTATGAAACCTACAGGGAGGTGGAGTCTCAGAACGACTGCCTTCTCTTTTGCCAGTGACGGGAACAGCCGCCGTTGGTTTCTAAATGCGGTGGTTACTTCTGAATTCCAGCCTTCCAGGGTTTTCCTTGCCTTGAAACTACTCAGCATGTCAGAAGCATCCCCCTCTCTCTTTCTGTTCCTCTTCCAGGGTTCTGGCCTTCTTGGATCTTTTCAGATGTTTAGACTTCAGTTTTACAGACGTTTTATCTGTCCCTATCCATTTGAGATTGACTTTGGGCTGTACTTTGCCCTGAGGTACTTAAAGACAGCTCCACTGAAGCTATTCTTAGTCTGATTACAAATATTTTATTCAGCACATCTATTGGTTGGAGATATTTTGCTAATTCTCGGGAGTAAAGCACTGTGATTTGCCCTATAGTCAGATGTCGGTGGAGGTAGGCTAGCGTTTATCAGTATGAAATCAATAGCTGTTTTGTTGCCATAGCTCAGATCTCTGGTGAGAAATAATTCACCTTAGCTCTGTCACCTTAGCTCTGGCAGGCCTGTTACCTCCGACCAGCATAGGCTGATGTATCAAGTAGAAAATTAATTACATTTTCATGTACGTTATTTCTCTTCAATATGCATATGTTCTTGTAACAACCTGAAATAAATACATCCTGCAGGCATTTTGGATGTGTCCTATTTGATATTTGGAAATTAATTATTTAGGATGGTTTCCATTTTTTTTTCCTGATGGTGTTACCTCTGCATTTTATTTTTACAGAGTTAAAAAAAGAGCTCCCAATAAAACTCTCTTGACAAAAGAAGGAAAAAAATTACCACATTTGAGGGAATTCATCAAGTTAAGTGTGAAGGCATGACTACTCTTTTAATGTATTCATACCTACAAATTAAATTACTAAGGTTTTTTTTTGGTACAATAATGTCCTTTAGCACCTTCATTTTTCTGGCATGAAAAAGAATTAATTGACCACCTGTCCTCACTAATATATAAAGAACGACATCTCCAGCGTTCAAATGCTAATTATTTTATAGATGGCATGTGGTGGTAGGGGGAAGGCCAAACAATCTAAAGAATATTCCACTATTTGCTAAAAAGAAATGGACCAGACCTCATTCCAGAAGCGTCTATAAGCCTCCTTCATGCCACAGCTGTGTAAAGTAGAATTTTTACAAATTAATATTAGTTTTATTCTTAGGACCTTAGCCTCATTCCTATATGATTTAATTTCTGCCTTACATTCAACATTAAATAAGACTGGTCATGTGTCTGATCAGCATTTATAACCCATTGTTTTCTCTTGGAAATAATTAAATTCTTCTTTAGCCTGTGATTGCAATCTTTGATACACATTCTAACTCTCTCCTTAGAGGATTTTGAGTCAGCAACAGACTAGATTCTAAGTTTCCATTAATAGTGAGCCTTAGAGCATCAAGAGAAACTTCTCTCCACGTTATAGAGAATAATAACCATCAGTGACCAAGTTTGTTCCATTTGTTTGGCTTTGTGTCCATTCTTTTTTGTATTTTGACCCATTTCATTCTCTAATAAGCTGATGGAAAGCACGTTATCGATACAGTCCCTTTATAGATTAGCAAACTGAGGTTCAGAGTGTGTGCATTATTTGTTCATAAATCCTGGTTCCTCTGACCCCAAAGTCAATGTTCTCAGCCATTACACTAAGGAATGGAATTAAATTACTGTTATCTTTTTCTTTTATGCAATAATGTTCCAAATATTTTGCTCAACTATGAAGACATGCTTATTTAAATAATAACTAATACATTTTTCATGCTATGCATTCATCTCTCTCCCCACTCTCTTGCCCTTTAATTCAGTGTCATTACTCCATGAAGAAAGCAGCCTCCTTTCTTGGGATTGGTACCCAGAATGTGTGCTTTGTGGAAACAGATGGAAGGTAATGGGGACAGGATCTGGAAGCCTGGTGGGTGGAAGGGGAAATTTATACTGTTTCCAAAGCAGTACCACTGCCTGTTAACTACTAAACATAACTGAAAGTCTTAAATCTGTGTCCCTTAGAGGTAAAATGATACCTGAAGAACTGGAGAAGCAAATC